TTTCAGTGGCATTCATATCCATGTAAGTGAATCTGCTTTGAGGTCTCTCATCTATATTGAAAAGTTCTCAGAATTTATTCCTCAAGGATGAAGCATACCAGTATATGAAAAGATTTTATGTCCTTGAAAGACCTGGGAAGGGGGTTGGCCACCCAGGAAAAGTCGTTTGAACTTTCGGATTAGGTTGTGAGGAAGAAATAAATTTGTGACAGTGTGAAATTAAGGGCGTTTGTGCATTACGACTGCAGTTAATGTTACCCATCAAGATTAATAGCTGTCAGATTTCATACATACTACTTTTTGTTTTTTGTTTTTATAAAAATACTTACTTTTATTGGAAACAGAGAATTACAGATAAAAGTTATATACTGTTATTACAGGGGAAAACAGTGCGGGGAGGAGAAATGGAGAGAGTGGAAAGAGAAATTCCTGAGTCTAAGGAACTGTGTCATGAAAAGTAAAAAATCTTAAAAAGTGAATAAATTAAAAAAAAAAATCCAGATGGAAGGGGAGACAGAAAAAGATCTTCCATTTTCCATCTACTGACTCATTCACCAGAAGGCCCCAATGACTGGAGCTGAGCCAATTCGATGCCAGAAGCCAGGAGCTTCTTTGGGGTCTCCCGTGTGGGTGCAGGGATCCAAGGCTTTGGACCATCCTCTACTGCTTTCCCAGGCCAGAAGCAGAGAAGTGGGTGGGAAGTGGAGCAGCTGGGACACAAACCTGCACCCATATGTGTTGCTATTGCACTGGCCCTATGGTTTTTTCCTTAAGATTGTTCTTCCATTTCAATTTGTAGGGCAGGAATTTTCCTTTTTGTTCTGTGGGATGACTTTTCCTTTCTAGTAACCATTATCATGTATGATTCACAAGAATGTTTTCTGGAGTGCTATGCTTTCTTACTGTGAACTCAGATTCATGCACATTGTGTGGCTTTCTTTTTCCTTTTAGTCCTATATGTGAAGTTATCAAGTTTTTCTTTAGAGGAATTCTTGCATTCCAAGTTTACATTCAACTGTGTACATATGCCTCATACACTTTGGGGTTTTTATTATTACTGAAGATTAGTTTATTTTTATTTGAAAGGTAGATTTTATAGAGTGAAGAAGAGATGGAGAACTCTTCCATCCACTAGTTCATTCCCCAATAGCCACCGCGGTCACAGCTGAGCTGATTCGAAAGCTGGAAGCCAGGAGTTGTTTTCCTGGTCTCCCATGTGGAACCCAAAGACTCGGGCCATCCTCCGCTGCTTTCCAGGTCATTCATTAGCAGAAAGCTGGATCAAAAGTGGAGCAGCCCGGACAGGAACCAGTGCCACTATGGGATGCTGACATCATAGGGTGGACGACGGGTCTGTGCTGCCACAGCACTAGCCTTGCTTTCAGGGTTTTTAAAAATTATTATTTTATTCTGATAATTTTTACATAGTTGATTAGGGAACAAAGGGTCAAGGGCTACAGGAAAGTGGTTTAGACCATTATTTCCACATTCTCTCTCTCTCTTTCTGTATCTGGGGTAAGGAGGGAGATAAAGGAAAAAGCTCTACCCAGCTTTCCACCCATTCAGGTCCCCAATGTGGAACATGCCTCGAGGGCACTGCTCAAGTGCTTTTGATAGTCCAAAAGTTTTGAATTGCTGCCAATCTTGCTATTCCAAGCACAATGAAATCTCTCCAGTATCCACTGGCTGACATAGTCCACCTTAGAGTCTCTGCCCAGATTTTCGCTGCCAACACATGGCTGGGGTAGTTGATCGATTTGTTTTGTCCTCCATCTTCTGTTGTGGTACCAGGTGTCCTCTGCAGGTTCCATTGGACTGCCATATCCTCTATGTGCACCTGGATATGCTGTCCACTGCTCTGTCTGAGCCTCTGAGGATTCTCTTCATGGTTGGTATTCTGAGATCAGCAGTTCAGGTGAAAGGATTCTCAAAGAAACTTTGTCTGAGGTGATCCCAGGCCAGATTCTTGTGTGTGCTTGCCAGTACAGGGTCCTGCACAGTTTGTCACCCCAATCAGCTTATGCATGTGCCTGTGAATTGCTGGGTCCATTCTGTTTCCAGCCCTGTCTTCCATATGAACCAATGGGTGTTGCAGTCCAGCCTGATCCTGCCCACCACACACTTGGCCCTCACACAAACCAGCAGGAGCTGCAGCCTAGTCGGAGTGACCCACAATAACCCCCATCAGACCTGCCCCCTGCCCTGGTTCTCATGTTTGACAGTATGTACAGTAGACTTGTCCAGTCTGTCCCACATTCTGTTCAGCTCTCGTACTTGTCAATGGGCATTGAAGCATAGTCCAACCCAATCAGCACCACTATCCAGCCACACACATGCTGGTGGGTGCCATTCTGGCTAGTCATATCTGCCCCAGTCTTGTTTTTCATGCTCTCTATTGGGAGTGGTAACCCAAGAGGGAGGTGCCTACTATTTCCCTAATGGGCCACTCCCAGATCAGGTACTCTCCAGATGGTTCTGCAGTTTAACTTGACAGAATTAGAACCTCAGTGGGAGTGTCTGCTAGCTGATGCTGCAGCTAAACCCAATCAACCTTCAACCTCTGATTTATGCTTGCACCAGAAGGAATAGTCAACCCAACCTGGCTATTCCCTGATCTAGCTCACACGAAGCCCACAGGTGTTGTAGCCCTGCTCAGTCTGGTCAGCCCCCATCTCAACTCATGCTCTCCAGTGAGAGTGATTGTCCAGCAGGGGAGCCCTCCACATTCCCCCTACCAGCTTTGCTCCCTCCCTTCCCTGGTTCTTATGTGCTGGTTCAGTGCTGCGTCTCAGTCTGGCATGGCCTCTCCTCGGCATTTGCCAGTGGGTGCTGTAGCCTGACTTGGCCTGGCCCACCCCTAATTCTAGCTCCTGCTGGTGGGGTTTACAGCCTAGTCCAGCCGAGCCAACACCCAGTCCCAGCCATAAAGTGTACTGGTATGTGCTGCGGCCCAAAACTAGCCTGACCCACACTCTGTTCTGTTGTTTGGATTTGCCAGTGGGTAATGTGAACTGGCTTAGCCTGCACACCCAAATGTATGCCAGTGGATACTGTTCCCTGGCTTGATCTGTGCTGCTCCCTATTGTGGTTCTCACACTCGCCTCCAGGGACTTGCTTTCAGGTTTTTAACAGTCACCTTTTTCACCATGCTACTCAACCCAGCATCCAGACAGATACCATGCCTCCTCCTGTTTCCCTGGGTAGTGGTTGACATTTTGGTTCTCCTTTAAATTGAAGGAATTTTGCAGAGTCTGAATTTAGCTTGATGCCTCAAATCTAGGAACCCAATGTCTCACCAGTCCAAGGCTGAAGGCCTGGTTGTATCTCCAGAGTGTGAGACAAGTTCAGACTCTTGACTTTGCACGCTATGGTCTACCTCTTCGCTTGGCAATGGGGAGTATCACCTTGCGATTGTCCAGAATGTCCCCCATTCTCTGTCCTTATAAGCCAGGCGTGCTTTACCTTTAGATCTTATGTTCCATTCCTTTATTTTGGAATGCAAGTGAGGGTGGAGCCTGTGAAGTTCAGTAAACTGCTCAGAGAATTTCCTAATCCATTGTCTAAAACAACCACCAACAAGCACATCCATTCTAAACTGTGAACTAAGCCAGGGAATTGTGACTGTAGGACCTTCATGGCTGCCAGGGGGAGTTCAGGGTCTTATATATTGACCTTTATTCCACTTGAAAATGGCTGATTTCTATGTTTCTGATAATTATGGGGGGGGGACCACAAGGGTAAGGAAACAGTTGTGCCGTCAGCACTGGGATCATGCGGGCCATAATTCTGTGGGCTGCTGGCTAGGCAGGAAGCATAGGGGTGACTTCTGCCTGGCCTAGGTCGCTGCGAATATTGCAACTTGATGCGTGAGCACTTACAATATTTACTTTTGCTTCCTTTTCTTGTTGCTAGCTGCTGATTCCTGACATACACTTCTTTCTGCTGTGGGGTGTCTAGACTGTGGCAGTGGTGAAGGATGAAGGAACCAGATGTTAAGAACAGGCCCGCCTGCTCCCCAGGGTCCCCTGCCCTGCCGTATACTTCTTGGCACAACACCTGTTCTTCGATTTCAGCTCATTTGTCCTTCTTCAAAAAGCCCCGCTCCAGAAAGCAAATTCTCCTGCTAGACTTTTGCTGTAGTTGTCAATGCCTATGTCCAAATTATTTGTGTATGCATGTAACACTTCACAGACAAAGCTTTGCTTCAAGACTCTTCTGTGCCATGACATCCCATTTTCCTTCTTTTACACAAATGCACTGAGGAGCACAGATCTTGCGGGGTCCAGCAGGAAGGCGGGCCACAGCGCCGCCTACGGGGACGCAGAGAACGCTGCAAGTCTGCTTCAAGCAGTTCTGGGAGTTCTGGGAGCTGGTGACCAAGCTGGTGTTTTGGGGATTCCTCCCAAACTGCAGCGAATGTCACTCCTTTGGGATCCCTCTTGCTGGGGGTCTTGCTGAGCTGAGCCGCTCCTTGCCTATTAAGTTACTCCGTGGGCCCAAAAAGGCCCAGAATAGAGCATAAAGTTTGGACCATTCCCCAGCGAGGGGATGAGCTGGGAGTTAACTTTTCTCCTGTTTGCATGCGCTTTTAAAGTGAATAAGAGTTAAATGGGGTATCTGCGGAGAGCTGATGGAACTTACGGAACTTCCAGACTCCAGCTGTGGCCGCCCAGCGCTGGGTGAGGCAGAACAGGGTGACAGTCCCGTGCCCTCACAGACATTTCCTAAAGCTTAGCTCCCGGCTGCCGTCGCTCGGCAGCCCGCGCGGGGAGGAGAATCCTGGGGAACTGGAGCCAGTCAGAGGCGCTCCGGCTCGCTCTCGAGTGCGCGGTGCGGGTTCCGGCTGCCCAGCGTGGGGCGTCTGGCCGTGACAGCCGCGGGCCGCAGTTCCCCGCGCGGCCGCCCGAGGCCGGGGGCGGGGCTCGTCACGCGGAGCGGCGCGCGGGGGCGGGCCAGGCGGGGGCGCGCGCCGGCGGGGGCGCGCTCGGCGCTTCAAAGGCGCGCGAGGAGGGCGGGAGGCGACTTGGCGGTGGCAGGCGCAGGCCCGGACCAGCAGGCTAGACGCGCGGCGCGCCGGCCCGCGGCAGCTCCGGCACCAACATGCGCGGCTCGCGAACCGGCTTCTGGCTGGCGCTGGCCGCGTCGCTCCTGCACGGTAAAGCCAGCTCGTCTCCCTGCTCTGCCGCGGGGTCCCGGGCACATCCCCGGCGGCACTGTGTCCCCCGCGCCTGGGTTAGGCTGAGGGGGCGGGAGGTTAGTTTCCGCGGGGGACGCCGCCCGGGCTGGTGGTCTGTGTTGGGCGGTGGGTGGCTTGGGGCTGCGGGATGTGGGGCGCACCCCCGCTGGCCTTTCCTGAGTAGCCTGCCTGGATCCCGCTCTCCTTAAGTGTCCCTGCAAGGCGAGTTCCAGAGGAAGCTCTACAAGGAGCTGGTCAAGAACTACAACCCCCTGGAGAGGCCGGTGGCCAATGACTCACAGCCGCTCACTGTCTACTTCTCCCTGAGCCTCTTGCAGATCATGGACGTGGTGAGTCCCCTGCCTGCCCAGTTGGGCTGCCCTCCCTGCCGCGGACTCGTGGTTTTATGAAAACGCCTTGGCGCCCAGGCGGTGGATCTGGATCAGGAGCTCCAACTGGCCCCTGCTGCTGGGCTGTCTTTCCCTACCCAGGAGGAATCCACAGAAGCTTATCCCATCACCCCATCCACCTGCTCCTAGCTACCTGGACTTGCTTTCCCTCTTCTGGGAAACTCAAGGCTGAAGTATCCCGAGCTGGGAGTCCGTAGCAAGAACAGGGTGCACACATATTAATCTGTCTTGTGATGGAGGTGTCGGCCTGCTGCCGGGCAACCGCTGTCAGTTTAGCCACTTCAGACTTTTCTGTCGCACACGCTGTGGAACAGCTCTGTTAGGGCCTGGCCCGGGGCTTTTTGTGGGTGATGCATCTGCCCCGAGCGTAGGGCCAGCTGTGGGCATCAAGAACCTCCCCCTTTCAGTGGGCATTTTCTGCCTTCTTTGATGAGGACAGGTGAGGGCAGTCCGTGTGCTGAGGACTCCAAGCCCCATAGCGGGGATCTACTGGGTTGGCTGTCCCTTCTGGCAGCTGCTCCTGGCCCCAGGGGCTCTTTGTCTGACAGCTTTAGTAGTGTGCCCTTTAGTTTGGAATCTGTGCAAACTTAGGATATTCCATTTTCACCGCTGTATTCTTTATAGAATGCAGAGTTGTTAATTCACTGTAAACGGGTTTCTGGTATGGTCTGTGTATGGCATGAGCTGGGGCAGAGCAATGGGGGTTGTGGTGTTGACGGGGAGGGAAGAATATGGTGGGAAAGAGGTGCGAGATGAGCCACATTTCCCTGTCTAAAGTGCTAAGAGGGGTTCAGGTGAAATGGTGTACTGTGTCTGGTGGGTGATGCTTTACAATCCTGCAAACATAATGTTACTGATGCATGTCATATCACTTAACCAAGTTAAAAACTGCTGTGATGGGTGGCTGGCTCTCCCATCCTAAACCTGTGCTAAACATGTCATTTCTCCTGCAGGCACAATCACGCTGTACAGTATTGAATGTATTCATGTTGAAGTGGGAAAGTTATGAGGGGAGCTTTCCAAGGAGAGAGAGCTACTGTTGCATGGGTTATAGCCTAGCAAAGGTGGCTGACTATGCGGCGTGGGAAAGGAGAAAAGCTGGGGATTGTTTGCACTAAGAGTCAGGGGAGAAGCTGAAAGAGGAACTCCAACAGCTCCAATCAAAGTAGGAAAGATGATTGGGTGATTTCCTGAGGCTGTAGGGTATCTGTGTGGGTGGCTGGCAGTGCTTACAGACAAGATCCTCCATTGTTTCAGGGGCTTAGAGTTGTCCGTGGGGGCCTTGGTGGGTGGGATCTGGCATGGCTGGCTTCTGAACGGCTCCTGTTAGGTAAGTTTATTAAGCATCGTGGATCTTGATTGTTGTTGTTGTTGTTAGTAGAAAGATCACTAGAATTTCATCAGTCCCTGTGTTGAGTTAAACATTAGCAGGTTAATCTTAGAGACCCCAAAGCTGGATAAATGACTCTCTTTCTGTGAATCCACCCGAGAAAGCACCAGGCAGATTGAACTGGTGTGTCCCACAAGTGGGGCAAAAGATGGATGGAGAAAGGTGCCCCCACATTCCCAGATTTTTTTGCTGTTTGTGTCTGCTCTGCAGCTGTCTCCTTTTGGGCAGTCCTTGTGTTAGTAGGGTGCAGTGGCCACTCAGCTGAGGAGTAAGAGAAAGCAAGTGAAACAGGCTGTGTGTGGCAGTGCGGGAAACTCTAGGAGACTACATCATACAGAGAAGAGCTGGGCACCTCTGCCTCATTAAGAGGAATCAGCCAAATGTGGGACATGTTGGGTCTCTAGGAAACCTTCAGAGTAGTTTAAGGTTATGTGATATGAAATGTAAAATTAGAAAAAAAAAAGTTAGTCGGAGTTTAAGGGAGGCTGGCATTGTGAGACAGTCTTAGTCTGTGAACATACTGAATTTCCCAGCCAGGCAATGCCGTGTGATTACGTAAAGGCTTTGATTAAACTACTCTACCTTATGAACCCATGTCTTCCTATGTGTCAAATGAGAATAATACCCACTTCAAAGGGTTTTGAGAGGATTAAAGAAGCAAGAGTGTTTGACGCATGCTGGTGATTGTACTAAAGGTTTGCTGCATCTTAATTAAGAAGCTGCTGGGCTCAGAGGTCAGCAAGTCCAGGTCTAGAAAGGGGGTCACTTGTCCAAAGTCACCTGAAGATTAGAGGCAGAGCTCCAAGGAAAATCTGCATGTGACACTTAAGTCCTTTGCCCTGTATCCTTTGCCTCCTTCAGACTCTAACTTTTTTGACAGAATGAAGTTCATTACAATTTAACTGCACCTGGTTGAATACAGTTATCCTGGGATCTTGGGTGAGAAGAAAGCCTCTGTATTAAAAAAATAGGCATGCATTTCTGTTCCAGCCTTGTTTTTGTTCTGCCTAATTTTGAACAGAGCCCCATGCCTCCCGCTGAAATCTCAGGACCCTGGACAGAGACACCACTAGCCGTAACTGATCTATAGGCAAAATATTAGCTGGTGCAGATTCTCTTTACAGACTCAACTGTAGGAGACCTTTGCCCATTCCATCTGGGTTTTCCAGAGACCATCAATTCTGTTTCCCCTAGCCAGATATTATTCCTCCCTTTTTTTTGTTAGCAGAACTTTTCTGGCTGGAGTAGCAGAGATGACAATTGATGTCTCTCTCTCTCTCTCTCTCTCTCTCTCTCTCACACACACACACACACACGTTACCAAGTCATTGTTTTCTCATAAATTAGTTTTCCCTGGGCTTACCAGATTCCTGTTACTGACTTTCTAGATTCACATAATTCACTAGTGATTAAAGCATGATTCCTGCTTCCAGATTTCTCATAAAGTGGCCAGGGGGACCGATTAGTACATCCAAGGTTACAACACATGATGGAATTTAACATATGTCTGTACCGGTGGCTGTAATATCTAGCTAGGGTGCCTGAAAATGATTGAAAGGGGTAGATTGGTGGATTTCTAAGAGCAAGTAGGAGCTGGCCAGTTGCAGGAAGAAGAGAAGTATTTCCAGATAGTAGGAACGGGGTGAGGAGAGATTGAAAGTGTGGTGGAAAATAGGGCACCTTCAGCAAAGTGGGTTCTGTAGGACATGGCTTCTGGCTGCTGGGCCTTTTTTGCAGGCTTTCTTGTTAGACTTTTCAGAAAATCTAATGTGCTGATGTGTACTAAGGATTTCTAAAAAAGGAACATAGTATTGAAAAAACTGCAAATGGTTTTTTAGACCTCTGTGTAAGAATTATGTTCCAGAAATACATCTTATGAGATGTAGGTTGTGCTTTTTCTTCAGCAGGAGGCGCTCGCTGAGCCTGAAGCGGGAGGGGTGTCACGGGTGAGGTGTCTGTAGACTTCACGTTTTGCCCTGGACCCTCATCTCTTGCCGCTGAGGGCATGAGAAAGCTGGGTGCAAGAGGATTTGTGGAGCTGCAAGACCAGCTTGCCGTAGCATATTTTGCTGGAAATGGAAACAATCCAAACCCTGCTATTGGCTTTAAATCTAGCATGCATAAATTATAAATTAGAATGAGAAATAAGTGTATATACATTTTAAAGATACAGATCTCCAAAGGAATAGGTTTGCCCACTGTGGGTGTTCTAATTATTCATCAGGCCTCTTGCTGATTGACTAGGAGTGGGACCAAATGGTGGAATTTTTGCAAGGCAGCAACATTACTGGATCTGTGTTTAGTCAGAGGGTATTGAGAGCTGACAGTGTGGGATGAGCTAAAGACAGAGTATTTAGGTAAGCAGTGAGGGTTTTTTGGTCCATTTTCCTTTGTTAATACAGAATGCTCAGAGTGGGTAATTTATAATGATTTTTTGTTTTTGTTTCATGATTCTGGGGCCTGGGAAGTTCAAGGGCATGGTGCCAGCATCTGCTCAGCTTCTGGTGAGGGCTTGCTGCTGCCTCAGTATGAGGCAGGAAGAAGCATGCTAAACAAGCAGAATACAAGGCATAGTCCCTCTTTATAACAAGCCATTCTCGGGATCCTGAATTCAGACGTACACAAATTAACCCAGTGCCCCCAGATAGGCATCAGTTCACAGAAAAGGATTCTACCACCATGACCAAACACCTCCCGACACCGACAGGCGGAGGAGTTATGTTTTTGGTAGGTGAATTTTTGGAGGACATACTCAAATAAAGTCAAGTCAGAACTAGGATGGCCACTGTGGAAATGTGGAGAAGGAGATGGCTTCAAGAGATGTTTTGGAGAACTGTCTATGATATATAACTTATATAAACACCGTGTACATATATCCATAAATTTGTAAAGGGAAGATGCCAAAATTATTCCTAAATGCATACTCAATTTATTTCCTTTGCCTGTCACAGAGCTGGGAATGAGATAATACATAAGAAATCATTTTGAAGTGATGCAAATGTGAAGTTTTGAACTGGAAGCAATTCTGCAATATTTTTCCTTTATTTTTACCATTTAGCTAGTCACCTGTGTGCATATATGCAAAGGCCATTTTAGTGTTGATTTGCATAAAATAAATGAGCACAGTTATGAAAGCATGTCCAGGAGCCAAGGTGTTTAAACAGAATAATGTGCATCAACACATAATTACACAAAAACATAAAACATAATTATGCATGAATGATTTCTGCTATTTTGTAGATCTCGCATTACAGAGTACTCTTTTTTTTTTTTTTTGTCAGACACGTGAGTCCCATGACAGTTGAATTAAGTACCTTAGGGTTTTCTACTGCAGTTGGCAGGCATGTAGGTAAAGCTCAGGGAACCAAGGATTAGCTTCTTACCCTGAATTTTCTTGGGGGCTCTCTGCTCAGGTTCACTAGATTTATGTTTTTAATTTACTGGCCACTGTTTAAAATGCTAAAGGTAAGTATTATCAAATACCAATTATGAGCATTACAGTCTTAGATTTTAGCTCCCAAGTTACAATCAGGTATTATCCTAATGATTT